CTTTCTTATCGACTTGCTTTCCTCATCCTTCCACATAGTCATTACTCTCGTCCTCCTGTCCCTTAGCGATTTTATGCTACCTCTTACCGCATCGTCGACCTCCAAAGTGGCATCCCGAATTTCAGTCTCCGCCTTTCTCACGATATGCTTTTCGGTGCCACTCATTCTTTTATTCTTATCGGCCATTTCTAGCACTTTCCGCATTCTTTGTCCTATATAATCGAGTCGGTCCTGGATGAACTCCAGGACCTCCTCCGGGCAGCCTATATCCGGTAAGCCTTCGCTCATCATGGCCCTCTCCTTCTTCCTTATATCATGGAAATATTCCTCCTCCTTCTTCTTATCCTCTTTTCCTTTCCTGACTCTATCCTCGGCTTTTTTTCTTCTCGCCTGTATGGGCATCCATAGCCCCGGGAATTCATTCCCGGAGCTCTTGCTGCTGGAGGCATAGCCCGATCTCCCCCTCCTGCGTGTCCTCTCACTTTCTGTCTTACTCCTGGACCTTTTTTTCCCTATCCTCTCTCCACTACTTCCTCTATCCTTCCCCCCACTCTCCGCGGCGGTAGTCCTGACCACCGGGGTGCCCGCCGTCGACACCCCGGCAGCCCCACTCACGTCCGGCCCATAGTGTGTTGACGACAGGAGGGGGAGGGCTGGGACCCCTCCTGTGCCGGCCCGACGTATCCGACCCGCCGGAAGTCTTATCTCTGGTCGAACTCATTATTAGTATTTAATGGGAAGAATGACGGCGGGCCCTTAACCCGGGCGGCTTTTTGGGCCGTTCCCTAGGGCGGTTTGGCTCAACTGAGCCTTAGGAGCCCGCCCTGCTCCCGCTGTGGATCCCTGGTGATGTATTCACCGAAGATCTTGCTACTCCCGGGCGCAGCTGCCCACCCGGGAAGCCGGTTGCCATACAGACATTAGGGACCCGACAGCCTCCGCGGTGAGTTTGGTTTGCCCGCACCGGCTGCCCTGAGGACAGCCGGGCGCGCTCGCCTCTCCCTGATACTTTCGGGAGCGGTGCACATGGACACGATGTATTTGGACACAGCCAATCACAGCACCGTGTGATTAGAGACATTTTTATGGTCTTGGAACAGCGACTTGTGATTGGACTGTGTCCAATTACCCCGTGTCCAACTGATATACACCTATACTTTCGGGCGCCGCTGCCCACCCGAGAGACCGGTACCATACTGGCATAAGGGATCCGGTAAGCTCCCCTGCTGTAGGCGCCATTGGGAGCCACTTTCTTTCTGAAGCGAAAAGGAAGGGCGCCCCCCGGCTCCTTATACTCATGGGCCCAGCAATCCACCCATGAGGGTCTTTTAGTCGCCTTTTACGACACGCAGGCCATACGTTGGGGGTATTCTTTACGTCCGCCACCCACACGGACAGGGAAACTTATTCCAATAGAATCAGTGCAAACCCGCCAAGCTTGGAGGGTCTCCTGGAGTCTGACGAACCTGTTTTTTTGTTAGCAGAGAAAATGCACACCCTCGGGGAATACGGGACTTCCCCAGGAATAGTGTGGGACTCTCCCTCTCCCAACAAAACCGGGGAGGGGGCATATCCACTAAAACCTCTGCCAGGCTCCTTGCGGCCATTAGAAGGGCGCCCCGGCAACCGCTCGCACATAATTTCCGGGACGCCCTCGGCCGCCGGGCGGGTCTAGCAAACCCGCTCCCACTCCCGGGCCGGGGGGAAATTCCCCCCGGCCCACTCAACCGATCCCCCACGACCGGAAGTGGGCCTCCTTGTCCGGTCACACTATTCCCCCAAACGGGGCACTATGGGTCAGGTCTGGTCCCGTCCGAATCCGGCCGGCCCCTTCGCTACCGTCCGAAGTTATGGGGTGGAGAAGTCATTATGTCCCTCCACCCCTCTCGGTGAGGAGACCCCGTACGTTGGGAGGGAGGGGGGTGAGTGGCCGCCGCGCTGGTGGATCAGCCACCCGGTCCCCTCCCGAAGGCGCCTAGTTTGACTTCTCGGGGGGTTCGCGCCTTATGCGTATGGCAGGCGCGAATCCCCTCAGCCAGGCGCCTCCTGTTATTACCCCCCCCCCCCCC